TTGTTATGCTGACTCAACACTGTTGAGCTGACCAATTTCTTAACATACTCTTCGATTCTTCTTTGGGGTAACCCTTACCCCTATTTATACATAACGATCACAAAAGTAGAGCTCCATACAGACAAATCTTATCACGAACCACATAGTCCAGACTCTCGTCAACAAGTGTACTTCCTTCGAAGCACCCCAAAATTCGCAATAGTGAGTCCACACTGAGTAGACCTTCTACAAATTTAGAGTTGTTTCTATAACTCTTTTGGTATTGAAGTATAGGATTATTAAGGAGGCGGACATACCGCAAGTCCCAACCTTATCCTCTATAAAATCTCAGGTCTTAAGCATGTGTAAATTTTAGGGAACCTTTCAGTACCACATATATACATTTCAGGCCAAAACTGATATAACACATGACCCCGCAATCCATCCATTGGTAATGGACTCCCCACACTCGGCACGAAGTCATAGGTCACAAAGTCCGATGATCCACAATAATAACCTTTACATCTTGTATAAATCAACCAGACGCCAACGTTCGTTGCACCCCCACATGATTCACTAGGTGATCTCTCAATACGCCCGTATCTTCAGTCGGAACCACACGTTGAGGCAATGTTTGAGCATCTCTGGCTCCCTCATAGTCCATCTACGGCATCACGAACTGTCGACGCATAACTGATACCGAGTGCGCAATGTCATACACGAGTGGAAACAAAGGAATATAAGATATATGTTTCAAGCTAAATCCATGACGCACGATAAAAAGTCAAAGGAGTGAATATTTCCTAGCAGTTCCATAGCCTCTCGAAGATAAGTACAGACGTCTCTGTACCAATCCGCAAGACTCTACTAAACTGCTTGTGACTCATGACACCTATGAACCTAGAGCTCTGATACCAACTTGTCACGACCCCAAATTCCCTTCGTAGGATGTCGTGATGGAAAAGAGTCTCTAAGACTAGGTAAGCCTATCAATGCGGAATAATAATAAATATCTGAAATAATTAAACTACAATGCAAACAATTTCAACTCCCAAAACCCTGTAGAAATAAGTCACAAGCTTCTAAGAATTTATTCTCTATGTCTCTATACATCAGAGTCTAAAGCAAATAAGGAAGACACCATAGTAAGATAGAAGGGGACTCCGGAGTCTGCGGACGCTGGCAGATATACCTCGAAGTCTCCTTGTACTACTAGTTTACTGATGCGTGGTCTGATAAGATATACCTGAATTTGCACAAAAAGATGTGCAGAAGCGTAGTATGAGTACACCACAGCGGTACCCAGTAAATGCCAAACTTAACCTCGGTAGAGTAGTGACAAGGTCAGGTCAGGCCCTACTGGAGAATAAATAATGGCATGGTAAAATGTTTAAACGATATTATAAGAAAAAATGATAATGAAAATTAATCAAGTAGTATGTCACATTTAATTACATCAAATAATGGCAAATAAATACCTCGTGAAAACAAAACAGAATTCTTTTCAACTTTAAGAAAATCACAACAATAATCAAAGGCAACTGCGGCCATAAATCAATATCAACAAGGGCATTCCCGAGATACCGCCTCATAGTCCCAAATCAAAAACAAATTCACAATATCTCATTTTCTTATCTCACCGCGTGAGCCTTTACAATTTATTTTAAAGAAAATATTTTTCCCGAAATAGCATCCTGTGTTTTAGCCATCCTTATCATACCGCATGACTTTTAGTAGTTCCCCTTACTAGCCACGCATATCAAGCCACCTTTATCTCACCGCATGCATTTCAATACCCAGACCTTATACCACCGCATGCGTATCAATATCACAATATATCACAATTTGCACCTCAAGTGCTCAAATAATTTAACTTGCCAAAATAATTCAACAATAATATTTTTCCAAATTAAAGAGCTCACGGCTCATGTCAAAATAATTCAACAATAATATTTTTCCACAATAAAGAGCTCACGGCTCATGTCAAAATAATTCAACAATAATATTTTTCCACAATAAAGAGCTCACGGCTCATGTCAAAATAATTCAACAATAATATTTTTCCACAATAAAGAGCTCACGGCTCATGTCAAAAGAACTCAACAATAATATTTTTCCACAATAAAGAGCTCACGGCTCATGTCAAAATAATTCAACAATAATATTTTTTCACAATAAAGAGCTCACGGCTCATGTCAAAATAATTCAACAATAATATTTCACTGCTCTATCACAATGGGTACGAAAATCTTACAAAAATATTCAGGAGTAAATAATTCAGGAAAATAATATTTCAAAATCTTTAATACATTGCTTCAATATCAAGTTTAAAAATGTTAAATACTTCATATTAATAATATTTAATTTAAAGAAAGTCAACCTTCAAATAATGCACAAAATAAAAGAAACCAAGTTC